CTTCATCCTCAGGGCCTCCCAGCTATGGAGAAAAAGGTGGTTCTAATAGCAGAGAGGTCAGGAGAGAGGGGAGCAGGATGCTGGACCCGCAGAGGGGACAGTGGGACAGAGAGGAAGGAGGGGGTGAGGCCTGAAGCCTGCACAGGGCTGGGTGACTTCTCCCCACCCAGGTGGTCCAGCCAGCAGCAGGGTGGGCTTGGGGCAGTGCAGCTGGACCACATCTGTCTGCACCTGCAGAACAAAGGCAGAGATGAGAGCACATCTGGAACTCTGGGGCCCGCTCTGGGTCAGTTCTCAGCCTGACACCGTCACTGCGCAGCATCTCTGTCACCGTCTGCCCGGTGCTTGGGTACTTGTTGGGGAGGTAGTGGAGTGGTTGCAAGTTGTGATGGGCTCAGTGTGGAGCTGCATGCCCACGGGTGGGAGCTTGAACCCCCACACCAAGAGGTGACCCTGCTCACTTGAGCTGGGGCTGCTGCCCACATGAGTCGCTAAGACTTGCATCCCAGCCCAGGCATCCACGAAGAGCACCCGGAGAAAACAACGGCAGAGGGCCAGCAAGACAGCTCAGCAGACTAAAGTACCTGCTTAGGCAAGTGCAGGGACTGTGGTTTGATCCCAGTGTCACATGCCTCACCAGTCCCACCCCCAGGGCGAGCAGAATCCGGGCCTGGTGGCACCCGCCTGTAATCCCAGAGCTAGGGAGGCTGAAAACAGGAGCATCGCTGAGTCCTAGCTGTGTAATGAGACCCTGTAACAACCAAATACATTTAAAAAAAGAAAAAGAAAGAAAGAGAAAAAGATGAAAAAGAGACAGATGTGGCAGAGCTGGCTCCACAACCGGGGGTCACCCTCCCGCCACCTGGCTCTGGGACTTCTGCCCCCAGGACCTCAAGACAAGGAACTGGGGACTGCTTTGTGGGTTGCAGGGTTATAGCAGCCCTGGCACGCTACTGTAAAGCCCTGGGAGGGAGCTCAGCGTGAGAGCTGGCGTGTGCCAACAGCCATCCTTTTTCCTCCTCCTTTCCTTGGGGTGGGGGAGGTGGGCAGAGTCTCACTGTATAGTTCATGTTGGCGTCCATCTCACAGCGGTTCTCCTGCCTCAGCCTCTGGAGTAGCAGGATTAGAGCTGACACACCCAATTTAGTAACCATTTCTTCATTGGCTTCAAAGTTCAGGAGTTGCCAGGGAGGACCAAGATCCTCGGCACTCCTGCTGCTGCCCTGGGAGCGGTCAGCTTCTGGGTTGCAAAGCTAACAGGTAGTCGTTTGTTCATTCACTGATTGATTCATTGATTCATTCAGCAGACACCCTGAGCTCCAGGTGTAGGTGAAGCTGGTGCTTGGAGCACACTGGTAGGTCGGCTGAGTCCCTGTGTTTGGAGACTCACTTCTAGCAAGGCTGCAAGGAGCAGGTGGCACTGGAAGGGCCTGCCCTGGCCAAGGGGGGACGCGCTGCTCTGGGGCCTGGTTTGGCCCTCAGCAAAGGCCTCCACTGTGTCCTCACTATCAAGACGCCCTGTCCCTCGGCCTGTGAGCGCCGATGCAGGAGCAAGGCCAGGCCCCTGAGTGTGCAGGGATGGCGGCTGCATCCTGGGGCTCCTGTTTCACAGCCTGTTTTCTGGGTAAGGAGCTCAGGACAGTTCCAGGAGGGACACTGGGACTGACTGTAGAGTGGGATTTTGGCCTTGGGCCACTCACTGGCAGCGAGGACCTCGGGCCCACAGCTGTGGCAAATTGGCTATAGAAACAGTAGAAGGGATGTGCTGGTCACTGTGCCCTGTGTCTATTACGTCATTGCAAAGAGCCAACCTCGGGGCTCAAGTCTGAAGCCATGATGGTGAAGTCCCATTGGCACAAAGTCCTGTCTCCCTTGTGGTCCTGGCTTCCTGTGAGATGGGGCAGTGAGTGGACTGGTGGTCCCAGCTGATTCGCTGGGGCCCACATGGCCTGGGAGTCAGGGAGGGCAGAGGGGCCCACACCCAGCCTGACATGTCTGTCTGACCCCAGGCCCAAGCCCCCAGGCCAGACAATGCTTGGCACCTGGAGCCTGGATGTCAGTCTGCTTGCGGAGGGCAGCCTCACCCTGCCCACTGCCTGTGGCAGTGCTGGGCTCGGGACCACAGGTGGTGGTTGTGCTGGAGAAGAAGGGGCTGAAGGGACAGATACAGAGTTTATGGGGCCACAGAATCAGGCAGACTCTGGGTCCCCACGTTTCCTCCCCCACCCAACCCATGAAGCAGGTGCTCTCGGAGGAAGCAGGGGCTCTGAAGGTGACAGTCCTCAAAGGTCACAGGGCTGCTTATTGGCAGGGCCACATCCACTTAGCCAGAGACCAGGAGGAGGCTCGGGCACTGCAAACATGCTGTATTTTATTTTTTCTTGGTTTGCTTATTTATGTATTCCACGATGAAAATAGTTAATAATTTAGGGTGCTTTGGGCTGGGGTGATAGCTCAGAGGCATAACTGCCTGCCTGCAAAGTGCAAGGTACTGAGTTTGATCCCTGGTATTGAACAAAAGCAACAACAAAAATCTCTTTAGTGTGCTTTAAAATTCAAAATAGACAGTTTAAAGAAAAAAATTGAAAGTTTAAAAGGAGGTAGAAATCGCCCCTAAATCCGACCACCTGGAGAGAGTCACTGTGAACAGTTTGGTGAACAGATTTCCAGACAGCTCTGTGTGTGCGTGTAAGTGTGACTGTGTGAGTTGTGTGTGCAGTTTTATGGTAATGGGACCACAGGCTGTTTTGTAACCTGCTCTTTTTGCTCAACAGTATGTCACGGAGTCTTTCTACCTCAGTAAATATAGTACCCTTCACCTAACGACCATAGACTGCACGAGGCAGAAAGTGCAGGCCGGCTTTTGTACGTCTGTCTCAATACCAAGGGGCATTCAGACGCTTCCAGTATCTTGCTGTTCTAGAAACTCGGCCTGGCCTGGTGGGGTAGCCGCATAACCCACTTGGGAGGCTGAGGGAAGAGGATTTCCCAGTACAGCTTCACCATCTGGGCCTGCAGGTTCAGCGTGGGAAGCAGGAGCCGCAGCAGAGCTCCGGAGACTCCACCAGCGCCGTGTGACCTCTGCTTAAGGTCACCTGGCCTCATGATGATGAAGGGGCGGACAGCAGAGGACGTGGCCCATGTGCCCTGGCAGGCAAGACCCAGCTGTGACCAAGGGCTGCAGTGACAGGGACAGGGCAGGGAGGAGCCTTGGGAGAGTGATGAAAAGCCCTGACTGGGGCCACTCGGCCACCCACCGGCCACCCACCGGGAGGACTGGAGCTGGCTCCCTCCTCCTGCCCTCCTGGGCTCAGCCCGCTGGGAAGAGGTGTGGGTGGCTCACGTTGGAGTGGAGGCGTTGGAGGTGTGAGGCGGGGGCAGTGGAGGTGCCTGAGGAGCAGGCTCCAGGAGGCTGGGGGCACCACGGGAGCCAGGGAGGCAGCCCAGGGAAGAGCTCCCTGGCAGGAGGGTGCTGAGCTGAGTGGCACAGGCCCTCCGGCGCCCAAGGAAACCAAGGGATGCGGCAGAGTTTCTGATTGCATCCACATTCTGGGCACAGGGTTGTTGAGTTTTAATTCAGAAACAAACGTCCTTCATTAACACAAACAGCAGCGGCCCCTTCCCATCGCCCGACGATCAGCTGCCGCCCAGGACTCACTGCTGCTCTTTACCTATGTCTTCCTTAGCAAGAGGAGAGATTAGTCATCAGTAGGAGACCTTGAGGTACCAAGCTGCGCCTCAGAGGCCTGGCTCCTGTCCCCTCGAAGTGGGGTGACCAGAACTCCTTAGGGCGCTGCTGTCGTGAGCAGAACACTGCTGAGCCTCCTGCTCAGGCGCCCACAGATAAGGGCGCCACCAGGAACTTGGCCTGTCATCCCATGCCTTAGGCCCCCACAGACTGGAACACAAATAGCTCCAGGCCCACGCAGCTCCCAGCCGACTGACGAAGGCTGCTTATTCCTGTTTCTTCTCTTTCTCTTCATTTATTTTTTCAAGGGAGCAAAATTCAAAATAAGAGGTGGCAGTTCCAGAAAACTTTTTCTGACTCCTCAGAGAACAACGGCGAGATGGATAGGAGAGAGGCCTTGCTCTGGCTTTCATTGTGCCAGGGTGGGGGACTCACCCTTTGGACGCAGGAGGTGTGGGGCCTGGGGCATAGGCCTCATCCCCGCACCCCATCTCCCAGTCTTGGATTCCCTGCCCAGCTTCTCAGGGGGCCTCAGGGTGAGGCCTGATATGCTGTCTCCTGCTCCTTCAGTCTGGAGACCACACAGTGACAGTGTCCAGGAGTAGGCTGAGGTGGGGGGGGGGCATCACGAGGCAGGAGGGAAGGTAATCTGCAGCTGAGCCCTACAGTAATTATGCCCCCAGAGCATGGGCTCAGCTGAGGTGCCAAAGGCGGGACACCCCAGGCCCGTGCCTCCCATTTTCAGGCATAGGCAGGAGGCAGGGCCACAGTCCCCAGCTGACAGAAGACCTTCCCTTAGAAGCTTCTTTGGGCAGTTCTTTCCTCCAAAGATCCCTGTTGGACTGCGTCCTCACAGCCCGGCTCTGGCTGGACGCTACTGTCTGAGGCCGAGGGGCGTCACCGTGCCCCTCTGGGACCTGGCTGCAGCCACACTTGTAGCCACCTTTGTTGACACAAAGGAGGGAGGCAGGCTCTTGGGGCCCTGGGGACAGCGAGCCAGCGGGTGCAGGCATGTGACTGGTGGCGTTCGCATCTCCCTGGTGCTGCACAGCCGAGGGGCCTTGGGAGGCCACCCCGCTGTCTCCCCAGCAACCCGCCTGGGAGGCTGCAGGTGGGAGGCTGCAGGTCTGGGGTGCCGAGCCAGCTGGGTGGCGTGACTGGGCCGTGGTCCAGAGCCGGGGGCCCTGGTGGGGGCCGTGGCATTAGCACTGCTTGGTGAGCGCAGAGCTGTGGGAGGTCCCCGCAGTCCTCTCCATCCAGATTCTCCTGGCCTCGCGTGCAGTCCGGGGAGGTGAGCTGGCCAGGGCTGCTCTCAGAGGATGCTCAGGAGGACGAGGCCAGCAGTGAGGGGCAGCAGGAGCAGCCAGGAGACCCGGGGGACAGTGCCTGGTGTGAGGGGAACAGCCGCTTAGGGCACTGCCGCCACATTCTGCCCTGTTCCCCATTTCTTCCCCTCCTTTCTTTCCATGCCCCTGCATTTCTGAGCACACCACCTGCATATTTGTGCTGCTATCCACATCCTCAGTGATGCTCATTATCCAGGTCTATGTGGGTGACACGGCCAGTGTCCTTGTGGAAACTGTCACAGCCTCCCTGGACACTGCACTTTGATTATCTGTGCAACAGATGCCTCTGCTCGGCGTTCCCAAGGCCTGCCATACCCTCCAGCTACTGCAGGGTTTTGGGGTGTAGCTCTGAATGGTGCTGTTGGATGTGCCAGGGCCCCTCCTTGGGGCTGTCACACTGCCCACCTGCAGCCCACAGCCTACCTGGCCCCGAGCATGGTGGGGTCAGGATCCCCTCCATCGCTCTCACGTAGTCAGGCCCCAGCCACGCGAGGTACGAGCTCTTCTCTGCCACAGGCACCAGCTGGACCGTAACGTCCTGGAAAAGCAGGTCTTGGCCACCATATCTGGAGGAGTCAAACATCTGGAACCCGTTCTTATTGTGGTCATCTCCATACAGCTCCTGGAAGTACCACAAGTCACCTAACTTTCGTGGGACCTTACAGGTCATCAGGGGACCCAAAACTAAGTGACCGCAGGTGGCCAAGCCTGATCAGAGGTCCACAGCATGAGCACTATGGGCCTCTGTCACAGTGTGAAGAGTGATGTCCAGAGATACCATCCCGAGACGTCATTCTGGAAGGGGCCAAGGGGATGGCTTAGCGGAATAAGCGCTTCCCTGGCAAGCACAAGGGCCTGAGTTCAATTCCCAGTTCCGAGAAAAAAAAAAAAAAAAGTCATTCTGGAATGTGACTCCAAACCAGCTCTGGGGTGCAGAATGGAAGTGTGCAATTTATAGGAAGGCAGGTGCAGTGGGGACATCCCTTCCTGTGATACCTTCACTCTTCCATCCCTGCTGGGGATCTTTGTGTTGAAACTTTGGAAGACCTGAAAGGAGCCTGAAAGCAGCAGGAGACATGCTGGGCCCCTCTGTAAACAGAGGACGTCTGGAGAGAATGCACACGTGTTGGTCAGCACTGGGTCATCATCACGTGGGCAGAAGTAAGTGGCTGTCAGTTTTTTTGGAGGGGACGCACAGACTGATTTCTTGAAGATCTCATAGAACTGTCAGCCTTCTCCCCAGAGAAATGCACACCCACAAGGACTCCTCCCACATTGCTTCAGAGGACCTAGGGGGCCCCCCTGAGAAGCCCAAGGCCCGGAGGATGGAGGGGCTGGGACAGAGGGACCCCATGGAGAAGGTGATTTCAAACTTTAGGGCCAGGCCCAGAGAGCCAGGAACTCTGCAAGTCTGCCCTGGTGGGAGGACAGCGCCAAAGGGGTTAGAAACCAGGGCTCCTCAGACATCCTGTTTTTTGTTTGTCTTTTGAGACAGGATATCACTGTGAAGTTCAAGTTGGCCTTGAGCTTACTTTGTAGCCCAGGCTGGTCTTGAACTAAAAAAGATCCTCCTGCCTCTGCCTCCCAAGAGCTGGTATTACAGACATGTGCCACCACACCCAGCATTTCCCAGGTTTGGATTCTAGATGTGTCTTGGGTGTGCAGCTGTGAAGGATTCGATGCACCAGCAGTAGGAGAGGTGGAGACAGACACATAGAAACTGCCCATGGGGGGTGGTATATCACGACATGAGGCCAGATGAGGTCAGTAAGGCAGTGCATGCGGACAGACAAGAAGGCTTATTCAGGGAGACCTGAGGAGATGGAGGTAGGCTCTGGGGGGCCACAGGAAGGGATTTGAACCCTGGGAGGAGGGGGCTGAGGTCAGCGCCGCTCAGGGGTGAGGAACATGATGGCCTTGGATTTGTCTGCATGGGTCACTGTGACCTTGATGAGGGTGGGAGTCGGCTCTACCCTTGAGAAAGACCAGAGGAGACTGCGCCAGGACAGAGACAAAGCTCTGGAGGGACCTTGCTCTAAAGGGGCTGGGGTTCTGGTTATAAGAGGATATAAGCAGGAGAGACTGCGTTTATTTTTCACAGACAGTGGGAAGAATAGCATATTTGTGTGTTGGCCCAAGTGGCCCTGTTGAGAAGGAAACAATGATGCAGGAGACAGAGGGGTCAGTGCTGGGGGAAGGACCCTGGGCCAGTGGAAAGCACAGATCCTCCTCCCACCCCACCTCCTGCCCCCCAGTTTCCCTGAGGCTGCTTCTGGTCTGCACTGCTGCTTTTGGCTCAGCACTGCCACCCCTGGCTTGGTGACACCTGCTGCACTGGCTCACCTGCGCCTTGTCTAGGAGCCCGTACACAGCAAAGGGGTTGGTGTCCGGCCGCACCATGACAGCGTGGGCTGGGATCCTGGCCAGGCTGCAGGCTTGGAACTGGTGAACCTCCGCGCGCGCCCCATTGGCGCACAGCAGCTGGTAGTCCTGCTGCCTGAGCTCGGCTGCCCAGGGCTCCGTACTGTAGCCTGGGGACAGTGTGAGGTGGGGAAAAGTGTGGGCCAGGTCTTAGAACCTTTGCTGGGAAGACCCAGAGCTCTGTTCCATTGTCAGAGCTACACCAGGTGGAGGAGGAGTGTGGGCCTGGATTAGTAGGGACTGGGGAGCATCTGCTCTGTGACTAGCGCTTTGCAGCCATCAAAGTAATGCAGGGTGAACATCATCGGCCCCATTTTACAGGTGTGGAAACTGAGGCTCTTCACCCTTTCCAGGCAAGGAATCTTGTCATGTGTTATATCCTCAGGCCTGGGCATGGAAGGTAGTGATGGACTGTGTACTGCACACAGAAATTCTCTAACTGAGGGGCCATGCTGACATCTGTGGTGCAAGGGGCATTCCAAGGGCCTGCACTGGCCAAGAATCTCACTGTTCAGTTCTGCTGGGGGCAGGAATCTGTACTCTGGGCCACCAGCGCAGCACTGTTGAAGCTGGTGGCGGGTCCCCGGTGTCCTGAGCAACGCTACCTGGGGAGCCACAGTCTCGCACTTCCGTGCATTCACGGATTCCAGAGGCCATGCCAGGCGGGCTCTGGGTGGAGCTAAGGATAAAGGGGAAGCGGCCGGCGTGGGGGCCTCACTGCACATTGCTCTCCCAGGATCTGAGTTGTGAAATACTGACGTCTCCCACTGTGTGTCTTGCTGGCCCCGACAGAGGGCGGTGCCCTTCCCGGCCCCAGCTGTGCCTTTTGGGGTGAGGCTTGGAGAGAGAGATGTTAGGACCCAGCGGAGGCCAGGAGGCTCCAGCACGTAGGGCTTCAAGGCCTGGCAGGGTAGCACAAATCTGGGTGCTAGATGTTGGGGAGCAACGTGGGACCTTTGAATAGTCCACAGTTCCAGTTGGGAGTGGGCTGGCACGGAGACCTGGCAGCCTGTGGGAGCTCACGGCTCGGTCTGGGGTCCTGGGGTAACTCTGGGGGAAGGCCTGCCTGTGTCACACGTCTGGGTGAGCCCTGCCTTGAGTCTTTCAGACTGAGTTCTCTGAGGCCCCCAAACCCAACAGCCCCTGAGGCCTAGATTGTGTTGGGGACAGCAAACAGCCCCAAGATGGGTCTGCATTGGCCCCAGCCCCTCAGGTACCGTTTGTGTTGTCAAAGACAGTCGTGTGCTTCACAAAGGCGACTTCCCCTGCCCTTTCCACCAGGCACCTGCCACGGGAGAGAGGGCCAGCAGGTGTTGAAGGAGGAGGGTCCCCGCCGGGGCCACCCCAGGTCCCTCTACCCCCACCTGCTGCTGCATACCTGAAGGCTCCGCTGTCGCTGAAGTACCTCTCCTGGCTGTTGGCCACACACTTGTTTCGGCCCTTTTCATCCCCCACACAGGCTGCACACAGTGAGGACGGATATTTCCTGGCCTCACTCCCAGGCACACAGCTGCCATTGAAGAACTCGCTCACCCCTGGCAGAGGGGACGGGTGGTGAACAGGGGCCACCACAGCAGAAAGAGAGCCAGGGAGGAGGTATGTCCTTCAGCCTTTGCTGGCACGCCCCCAGCAATGGGAAACTCACTACCTCCTAAGCTATACATAGTGGGTGACTGAGGAGGACCGGCCCATGTCCCTGGGGATGGTACCTCTGATCACGTTGCAGTCTGGGGGCCGGATGGAGCCCCTGTGGATGAGGGCACCCACGGGCACGGTCCAGCCAGCAAGGCTGTCCACACTGGGGTGGCAGGAGTGCTTGCCACGCAGCTCATTCAGATTGAAGGCGGAGGAGCTGTCCCGCCTCACCAGGGCCACCGCATAGTACACGATGCTACTGTTCTCTGAGGACACAGGGATGTCACACAGGGGCTGTCCCTCCAATCCTTGCCCCATACTTCTCCATGAGACAGTGGTGACCCACCTGGGGGGCCCAGCCTGAGGCCAGGTTGCTCAGGACAGGGCCAGCAGGTCCCCAGTGGTCTGGGTGGCTCCACTGTCAACTTAGATCCCCTTCCACCCCAAGTCCTCACTGGGCCTTCCTCCATTTATAGCCTGGTGGCAGTTCCCTTAAGGCTCAGAAGCCTGCAGATTTTTCTCTAAGCCTGGAGATCTCTTGCGGCCTAGTGGAAGGGATCAGGCCAGCACAAGTTTGCTGCTCGGACCACCAGGAGGTGTGAATGAGATGACAAGAGAGGGCCACCGGCCCCTTCCCTGGGCCTCCACCATTGGGAGAAGCCAAGGCTGCCCATCACAGAGGTAGTGGACATCCACAGGCCCCCTTACTCACTCTAAGACAGCCACGGAGAAGGCATGCCCTTGCCAGCTAGCCGCCCACTCCGAAGATATGCCTTAAAAGGTCAGTCAAGGACAAGGAAACGGCCAGAAAGAAGCTGCACACGAACCACCAAGTGCACAGGGCATTAGACGAGGTCCCCAGAAGCTAGTCCAAGTCGAGGGGGGTCACTCAGCCCCCTAGACAATCAGCTGGGAACAAAGGGCCCGGGTCCTCCATCTTTCTGGAGTCCCCTACCTGATTCTTCACTACCAGGGTAGCTGTCTCCCTTCTCCTTTCCTCCTCCTTCCTTTTCTTCTTTACAAGTGAAGTGTTTTTCTTTCGTTAAGCTTCAACCCGCTAGTATTTTACTGCGGCTGGGGTTACCATCCTGGTGGGTTCGTAGACAGCAGAACACTGGTGCGACATTTTTGGTTCCCTGGCCAGGAGCCAGATGTGACAACATCCAGAACTGCAAATGGTTTTTCTACCCGTTTATTAGCAGGGGACCCACGGGCTGGGTGGACTTTGGTCCATGGCCTGTTAGTGTTTTAGGCTTTTCAGTTTCTGTCTCAGGATTTATCTTTTGGTACTAGAGATTAAAGAGAGTTTTTGCATTGAGCTACATCCCCAGCCCTTTCTTAATTTTTTATTTTGAAACAGGGTCTCTCTAAGTCACTAAGTTTTCTGGGCCTTACTCACACTCAGAATCCTCCTGCCTCAGCCTCCCAGAGGGTTGAGATAATTCTTTTTAGAGATATTCACTGCATAGATGGGGAAGGTGAGGCCCAGGGCTCTTCTGTGACAGAAGGCAGCCACCAGAGGCACAGAGGCACTGGTGGGGGTGTCCGTGGAGTGTCTGCCCATGGCAGAGGGGGCAAGTTTCCCTATTTATAAAGATACCAGAGCCCCCATCTGGGTGGCACTTACCAGCGTAGGACTCCCCGGCTGCTGGGACCAGCCCAAATGTCTTCCCTGCTCTGTAAATGTCTTCACCCCCCAGAGTCACGGCATCGATGTGCCCAGCCTGAAGGGAATGGGGAGTGGCCAGGATCCAGAATGCTTCTGGACATAGGGGCCCAATGGCAGCGGCAGGGCCCGTCCCTGGGGTGGCACTTGTCCTGCCCATCTGTCTCTTCCTCTGCTATGGAGGAGCCTGGCCTGGAGGGCAGTGAGTCACTCGCAGGGATGCTGCCATCCCATTCCAGGAACAGCGCAGCACCAGGCCCACCTCCTGCTGGGGGTAGGGAGCCGTGGCTTGCTGGCCGCAGAGGCCTAACGTGCCCTCCGATGTGAGCACGTTGCATGTCAGCTGATGGGTGTGCAGAGGAGCCGTGGCCCAGGTCTTACAAGGTGGCTGCTTCTGCCAGCGCTCTGGCCACAAGTTGGCCCAGTCTGGGCAACTTAGTGACTTAGGGAGACAAGCTCTCACAAGAAAAAATAAAAAGGGCAGGCCCAGAGTCCTCCAGGACCCCTGCACCTGACTTGTCCCTTCTGAAGCTTCTGGACAGGTAGCCCAGAGCCCTGCAAAGGGGCAGCTGATAGCCTTGGGAGGGACATGAGCTCACCCCTGCTATGAACATAGAGAAACTAAGTCTCAAGGAGGAGCAGGACTTCACAGGCCACGTGATCACTCCGGGCCTGTGGTGATCCCCTGCCTCTCTGGGCTCATCGCAGGAGACACCCGCCACCCTGCATTGGCCCTCCTGTCCTCTGGCCGCACCAGCACACCTGGATCTGCTTCATGCACTGCAGCGGGGCGTCGGCCCACACGCACTGGATCTCTGGCTTGAGCTTCTGTCGATTGAAGGCCAGCGCCATGTCGCCACACTTTCGGAACTCTGGCGTGGACAGCACACACCAGCGCAGGAAGTGGGGTAGCTCTGTTTGGGGGTTTTGTTCAGAAAGGTTTAGGGTCCCTTTTCCATGGGGTTGTGCATGGCATCAGTGTTTCTGTCTCAGTGTCCGCTACCCTGTATCCTTGGCAGCAGGGTGGGATTTATGGGACTGGGGGGCTGGAGGCAGGAGTGGGTTTGAGACAAGTCTCACTATGTAGCCCAGGGTGCCTTAAAACTCGCAGTGATCCTCCTGCCTCGGCCTCCTGAGTGCTGGGATTATAGGCCTGCATTTCTACATCTGGCAAGGGCAGAGATGCTGCCTCCCCAGGTGCCAGGGGGCCAACGAGGGGAAGCGACAGGTTCTCACAGATGCCCTGGGACATCTTCCTGGGTTACCTCCCCAGAGAGCCCTGGTGTGGCAAGAGCAGGGACAGGGACTTACGGTTGGGGTCACAGAACAGGCCCTTCATGGCTTGCAGGTAGTCTCGGCCCAGCCATGCCTCATAGGTCTGTGTACCAATGGGTACCAGCTCCACAGTGGTGTCCCTGAACAGCAGGTCCCTCTGGCCGTAGGCCTCTGAGCTGAACATCTGGAAGGTGCTGCCCTCGTGGTTGAACAGCAGCTGTGTGGCAGGGTGGCCAGGGCGGCTGGTGAGGGTGGTGCGGTGTGGCCACTGCTGCCGCTTCCCACCACCCTGCCCCTCCTCTGGAGGGCCCCATGCAGTCCACTTCACACCCTGCCCTTTGGGCACAGGACGCATGGCCCAGCTCAGGGGGCTGTGGGGGAAGGGCAGGCAGGTAGGTCCCTACCACAGGCAATGTCAGGCAGGGGCGGGGCCCCCAGGGGTCACGGGGTAGATTGTGGTCACAGTGTGGCCAGTGCAGTGAGGTCTCGGAGTGCTCTGAAATGTGCTACAGATGTCATCCTCTCTGCGCTCACATGCTCCGGCTGAGGTTCTCAGAGGCTTAGAACGGAGAGGAGGCTGGGGCTCCAGGGCTCCCGCTAGCTCCCAGGGTCCCAAAGCAGAGTCTCTGGGTCTTGGTCTTTGCTCCGAGCTCCCAACCTGGCAAGCAGCGGAACCCAGAGCTCTGAGGAGTGGGTGCCCACCTCACCTGGCCCTCACCAAGTAGTTGGAAGATGAGTTTTTCGTCCATGTCAGCTCTGACCACCACAGCATGCGCGGGGACCCGGGCCAGGTGGCATCGCCGCCACTCAGTGACGCTGGCTCGGCTGCCATTCCTGCACAGCAGCTCAAAGTCCTGTGACAGCAGAGCCTTGTCCCAGGAGGGCAGGGTTTTCCCTGGAGGACCAGAGAGTGAGGTGACGTATAGCAGGGGTGAAAGCCCAGCGCCCCATGACCGGCTGGCTATGCATACCAGGCCTGACCCTATTTTTGTTTGTTTTTGTTTTTGAGACAGGATCTCACTATGTAGCCCAGTCTGGCCTTGTATTCCTGGTGATCCTCCTGCCTCAGCCTCCTGAGTACTGAATGACAGATACTCCTCTACTGGCTTCTATTTTATTTTACTTCTAATGTTGTCAAGTACATAGCTGATAGGTAATTTTCTACCCCACTTTTCCCCCAGTTTATATTTCTGACATATTTTCCCACAGTATGGGAAACTTTCCAGAAAACTTGTTGTTTCCTATAGAAAAGCAAGATTATTTTGAAAGTGACGCTCAACACCAAGCAGGAATATTCGGAAACTGACACTTGGGGCTGGTGCTAAGCCACGCATGGCCCACAGGACGGGGCTTTTATGACTTTGAAATTAAAATGGGGGAAGGACCTCCACTAGGAAACAGAAGGGAGAGATCATGTGTGAGATCGTGAGAACTTTTAGCTCCAAAGCTACTAAAAGAATTCCCCCCACAATTCCCCCCACACAACAGAAATAAAATTCTCTCTCTCTCTCTCTCTCTCTCTCTCTCTCTCTCTCTCTCTCTCAGACTCTAATCTTCATGGGGAGATGGACAAAATGAAGCTACGTAATCTAAGCGCAGCCCCCGGTGCAGAGCACCGGGGCTCCCACAGAGCTGGGGCACTCAGAGAGGGGGTACTCAAGGTACTCACACAAGGTCACCCAGAGACTCAGGGGTGCTGGATCCAAACTCACCATCTGTGTTCTCCAGCACGGTGCTGTGTCTCACGAAGGCCACGTCCCCAGCCCCTTCCGCCAGGCACCTGTAGAGCTGACACCATGAGCCTAGGGGCTGGCTGCCCTCCAGCCTTCTGGTCTGGCTTGGGTTGCAGGGGTCCTTGGGGCACCAGTCCCCAGTGCTGCAGCCTTAGTGCCAGCTCCCTGGGCTTTGCCAAGTTAGTGGCCTTTGATACCTGGTCCCGCATAATCAGAAAAGGCCAGGCCAGGGAGGGACAGGGTCACACAGGCACTGCCATCTTCTGTGAATTCTGCTCCAAGGTAGGAGATTGGGGCAAATGACCCTTCCATGCCTAACACCCAAATGCTCCACGATGAGAGAGCCCGCGACCTGTGTGGCCTCCGTGTCACTGGCTTGTGTGAGAATCAGGTTGGGCCCTGTTGGGCAAAGGGGCTGCTGGGGACTCTGCAGCCAGAAAATAAGCAGGGACCGAACAGGGGTGAGGGCAAACCGATGACAGAAAAGCCCAGGGACCCCAAAAGCAGAAGGATGTGGGGAAGAATGAGGAAAGTGGGGGACACTATTTCCTTTCTCCGTGCCCCAAATGCCCAGAGTTCCCTGCTCCTGGTAGGGACGTCGAGGACAGGTGGCCAGAGGGATTCCAAGACCTCCTTTCTGGACATGTGGACTTGGGCCATGAGTTCTTAGCTGTTCTTAGGTCCTTGGAGGTGTTACCCTAAGTGTCACAGAAGTGCCCACCTGTACTCTGCCACTCCTCGCCCGCCCTGCTGCCTGCAGACACCAGAGCGGGGCCCTGAGAGTGGCCTGAGCCCTGCTTTCTTCTCTCATGGCCTGCACTCTTTTAACTACACCAGACAGCCCAGGACAAGGGGCACTTTGATGCCCTGGAGCCCACACTACCCCCGAGGCCTCTCTGCTCCCTACCGGAAGGCTCCGCTGTAGCCGTAGTATCTCTCCAGGGGGCTGTGGTCACACACCCTCTTCCCAGAGCCATCACCCCTGCAGGCATGGCAGAGGGACAGCGAGTGGTTGGTCTCTCCTGCTCCAGGGACACAGCTGCCCCCAAAAAACTCGCTGACAGCTGTGGAAAAGATGCAGATAGCAATCACTTGGCAGCAGCCAGAGTCTGGGCTCAGCAAGTCCCTGTCTGGGTGCATTCATTGTTGTTTCTTTGTTTTTTTGAGACAGGGTCTCACTGTGTAGTCCAGTCAGGCCTTGAACCCTTGGGGATCCTCCTGCCTCTGCCTTCTGTGGGCTGAGATTGCAGGTGTGCGCCACCCCGCCCAGCTGAGTACTGCTGAGAATCTGGTCATCTGGTAACTTCAGTCTGAGCAACGCTGGAAACTGAATCAGATAGGCGATTCCCAAACTGGGTCTATGGGAGTGGCAGCAAGCACCTGGGCAGGTCAGCTGCTGTTGATCAGGGGGCCTGATGTGGTGGCCCGGGACTTGGGAGGCTGAGGCAGGAGGATCGCTCTGAATTGGAGGGCGGCCTGGGCTACATGGAGAGTTAAGACCAGCCTGAGTTACACAGTGAGACCCTGTCTCAGAAACAAAACATGAAAAAAGGAAAAAAAGTTGTTCAGGGAAGGCAGCATTGAGTCCTAAGTGATTGTGCAGGACGGCTAGAGGCCTCCGGCTGTGGTATCAGCCTGGGGCGCAAGTCCAAGTTAGCACAGTGTGGCCAGCGAGGGAGGTGGAGCAGGAGCCCCAGCCTGTGTGAGGTCACACTTGAGACAGGAAGTTTTTCTCGGGATCTCAGCGTACCCGCTTTACTCCTGTTTGTCCTGGGCTAGGAAGGATACATCCTACTGCTGTTGCCCTGAGCTGGCCCAGCCCTGCGGGCTCATATCTGCCTGGAATGATCCTGTCTCCCCTTCTGTCTGTGTCCCTGAGGCAGCTCTTTCAAATGTGCTTCAGGACTGAGGCCACCTGGCTGTGACACAGGCTCTGGGGGCTCTTGCTGGCCTGTGCTGCTGGCCATGTACAAATTTTCTGGAGGCAAGCAAGCAACTTATTGGGCCTCTGGATCTCAGATGGAGCAAGGCTACAGACATGCTCTGGACACTGCGTCCTGCACTGGGTCTCTACTAGTGGGAGCCATTCCTGCATGCGGCCCTGTGCCCGGCTGTGTCACACGGACAGGGTGACCAGGAGCATGCGCCATGCTCTGCAGGGGCCCACAGATGGGAGGAAGTGCCTCCCCAGGGCTGCTAGAGAGACCCCCAGAGGAGGTGGTGGGACTCAGCTGCATCCTAGTGGGGAGCAGGAAGAAGAGACAGCTGGGGCAAAGGAGGAAAGGAGGGCAGTGTCCCGTGCCAGCCTGAGGACCTCACCTGTGAGCACGTCGCAGCCCATCACCGAGAGGCGGCCGGTCTCTACCAGGAAGCCCACAGGCACATTCCAGCCTGCCGTCTGCTGCAGGCCCGTGTGGCAGGACTTCATGCCTTTCAGGGTGTTGATGGTTAAAGATGAGTTCTTCCGGACCACAGCCACAGCATAATAGGAGGTCCCAACCTCTACGAGAGGAAGGGTGTAAGGCTGCTGGCCTTGCTACAGGACTCTGGGGGCGCGGCTGGGCACAGGCAGTGCCGTTCTCATGCACTTGGTGCTGGCCCTGCTACCTAAGTGGGCTGGTTCTCTGGGGCTACCTCTGGCCCAGTCACCCTCTTTCTTTCTAGTTCTGTAGATTTGGATGCTGGTTTGTTCGTGATCTGACTTTTGCTCTTTGAGGCAGAAGCAGGGGGTCTCTTGCATACTCCGTGCTCAATAGTGGGCCTGAATTAAATAAAGAGGTAAGGCCAGGGAGATAGCTCAGCAGCATCAGAACCTGCTTGGCAAGCACAAGGTCCTGAGTTCAATCCCTGGTAGCATAAATAAATAAATAAATAAATAAATAAAGTAAATAAAGAGGCAGCATTGTGCTTCAGGCCCACTGGCCTTTTCAGGGGACAGGCTGCCTGGCTGGCAGAGCTGGACTATGTCTTGTGCCATGGGACAGTCACTAATTCAACTCGTGGCCAGCGATGGCTTCTCCTAGGCAGCCGTGTGTACCAGGTCCAGAGCTGCCTGCAGCGCTGGGCACCACCACCTGTCCCCACCCTGCTTGCATCCTGTAGCCTCTGACAGAGGTGGGTTGTGGGCACTGCTGACACCTGACTCTCAGCACCATACCAGGGTGGCAGGAAGGGCTCCATGAGCAGATGGGGGCGCTGCTGGGCTCCCCTTGAGGAAGAGGCTTGGGAGAGTTCCTGGGTCCCTGTCCCTCCTGCCCTGCAGTTTCAGAGACCTAGGGGGACCCTAGAGGGCTTTCAGGCTGGGCCTCCAGGACAGGGCTCCAGGGCGACCCCGCCTGTCTGGAGCCGCCTCTCACCGCCATCGTACAGCTCGCCCATCACAGGCTTCAGGCCGTGCTCCCTGCCCGCCTCGTAAATGGCTTCTCCATCCAGGGTGACGGCATCAGCCTGCTGGGCCTGGAAGAAACACAGCATAAGCCCAGCCTGGTAAGGTAAGGCCAGGGAGATAACTCAGCAGGGGAAGTTGAGGGGAAGTCGAGGACACAGTCAGAAAGCAGAGGGGGCACCAGGGAGATGGCTCAGTAGAATAAGCACTTCCCTGGCAAGCGCAAGGGCCTGAGTTCAATCCCCAGTTGTGAAAAAAAAAAAAAAAAAAAAAAAAAAAAAAAAAAAGGAAGGAAGCAGAGGGCCTTGCAGAGCCCTGGAGGTCCACGCCACCACCGCCACCTGGCGCAGTCTTGAATGGCCCATGACTCTTCCCTTTTAGCAAGCCAAGAACACACCTTCCATAGTAACTATGTTATTTTATTTATTTATATTTATTTAATTTATTATGTATTTGGTACGGGGTCTCACTACGCAGCTCAGGCTGGTAGTGATCCTCCTGTCTCAGCCTCCCCAGCACTGGGATTACAGGCATATGCCACCTTCCCGGATTTGTTGGCCTGCTCATTGCATCCTGGGGCAGGGCCGGCGTGGTATGCAGTTCTCAGGCTCGAACCCTGGTCCCTTGCTTGCCTAAGCAGGCACTTAGTTTGTTGAGCTATCTTGCTAGCCCACTATACTCTTTTAAAAAACATTACTTTTACAGGATCCACATGTGCAGAGTGGAAAAAAGAATTAAGGTAGCATGGAATGGTAGATAATGAAAAGTGGGTTTTTCTACTTTCCTTGCCACCATGGCTGCTATACCGGGTTTGCTTGGTTTTCCCTTTAGGAAAGTCTACACAGACCCAATCCTGGATATCCACCTTAAATTTTCTTTTTATTGATTTAAAATACAAATTGTAGTGCCTTGTTCATATGTCCTGGGCCCAAGGTGGAGGCAGAGCCCAGCACAGGCCCAGGATCGGGTAGTCCTGGGCACTGGGGCCAAGCTGTTGGGAGGACCCACACGCCATGGCTCCTGCCCCAGCACCTGCTCTTCGCTGTCCTGCCTGGCCTCGCAGGTGGGTGCAGACAGGCTGGGGCCTCACAACAGCATCCCCCCACCCTCATCTGCTCAGAAACCTGGAATCCTCCTGCTGGTGACTCTGTCCACAGTGAGCCCCTTTGCTGACCCCTAGGAATCACCACTTCCCGCAAGCCAGCCCTTGTTCCCACCACCCAGCCCTCCCTGATGTGAAAGGGGGCTGTCACATGCCGCTCCTCACTCAGAGCCCTCCCTCCCGTCTAGGCGGGTGACAGGCAGCAGAGGCCTCACCGAGATGAGCTGCATGCAGTGGGGGCCCGAGGTGGCCTGGATGCAGGCGACGAAGGGCTGGATGCCGGCTTCCTGGAAGGCCTTGCTCATGTTCTCGCACTTCTCCTGCTCCGCACTGGAGATGGTGCACCAGCGCACCTCCGTCACCTGCTGCCCATCGAGCACTGAGGACAACAAGGACAGTGAGACTCTGTCTCCTGCTCACCTGGCTGGCCTGTGGCTGCTGAAGAGCGTGGATATGGTAGCACTGTGCGACCCCATTAGTTTGCACAGCCTGACTAGTGGCATGGCTCGGAACCTGGCCATCACCAGCCATGACAGAAGAGTGGAGGGACTTCCAGAGTCGCCCACTGGTTTTCTCTGCCGGGGTGGGGGTGGGGGGTACGGAGCTCGGGCTAGGGAGACACCGAGTTTCTGCCCTTTGGCAGAGCAACAAAAACAGAATCCAGAATCATCTTGTTTCTTGCAGTGGCCTGGGGTCTCCTCATAAGCTGGGACGTGGGATGGAGGTGGCCCAGCGCCTGTGATCTACACAGGGGAGGTGGGTGGGGTCAGGTTCCTGCCCCTCTAGCAGGTGCCTCCTGTGGATCTGAGTGACCTCTCTGGCCTGTTTCTAAGAACACACATGAGAAGCCACACCTCCGGGGCTGGATGTGAGCCTGGGTACACAGTGTGAGACTTAGGGTCCCCAGAAGACCTTCACTGGGACCCTGAGTTCCTGGCTTGGGGTCCCGGGAGGACCCCAGTGCCAATCTTGTCCCATGCACCTGTGACACTCATCCCCTGCGGGGACTGAAGGCCATTGTTCTTCCCAAGGCCCAGTGGCGACTCCTTCCTGGCCTTTGGCCCAGTGCTGTGTCCCATGACCTCCTTGGGTGCTGCTAAGGAGACCCAGCTTTGTGCCCTGTTCGCCTGTGCTCTGGATCCTTGGGACGAGTCTGGAGTCTCGGGCCGGGGAGCAGAACTGCTCTGTGTTTCCCGTCAGAGCAGCTCCCTCCGGGGTCCCCCCACCTCTCAAGACTCCCTCCACCCACCCACAGCCAGCACACCCTCTCTCCAAGGCCCGGCTCAGGCTTCCTCCTTCAGGAAGCCCTAGCGACTTCGGGGTCAAGGTCACCCCTGCTGTCCTCACGCCTTCCCTGCTCAGGATCCAGGGGCCCCGGAGGCTCCCAGCAGGGCAACCTCACCAGCGCACAAGCACAGGAGCAGCCACAGAGCCTCGAGGGGGACCCGCATGGTTAATCTGGGCGGTGAGGGTGCAGGAGTCGCAGGGGTAGGCCTGGCTCTGACCGGGTGAGTCCACAGCTGGGAAGGCTCCTGTCCTGTCCGCACCTGCAGGCCTAGCTACTTATGTCCAGGGTGGCCCCACCCAGCCGCCCCCACCCTGCCGGGGCCACCTCCACTGCTCCCCGGCGCCCTCTGCTGGGCTCCATCCGCAGGCCCACGCGCTGGGTCTGGTCCCTCCGTCTGTCCTGCAGGATCCCTGCCTGAGGGGAAGAGGAGTCAGAGCTTGCGGAGCTGCAGGGAGCTCTAAAGTCTCCTGAACGCACTGCGCACAGGGTCTGGCGTTCATTGCCGGCGGGGGCCACGCTGGCGTAGGCCACTGCCTCTGCATGGAAGGGGAGGCGACTGCCCGGGTCACACACGTGGTTGGAACCAGAGCCCACACTCGTAGATCGCCGCGAGTTCGAAGCCAGCCTGGGGTACGTAACGGAACTCTCTCTATTCAAAAAAAAAAAAAAAAAAAAAAAAGGAGAAAGAGTGGGCTGACCATCGTTCTAGCGCACGCGCACATTCGCAGGCCCACCCCGACCCTTTCCATCCAAAACGTCAGGGGTGGGATGGCCATCTGTCTCCATCCCGGTGCACAGCGCAGCTTGACACCCTCTGTGTTGGATAGAATCGAGCAGAGGTCCTGTGATTCCGGCTCATCTCCGTATTTGCCCACCTTCAGCCGTCACCCTCGTGAGTGCCCAGAAAAGGACATCTCCTTTGAGCCGGAAGAGGACATGCGAAAGGGTGTCCTCTGAGTCTGCGCCCGAGCCCGCTGTGCCCGAGAAGGAAGCCCTCTCTCCTCCTATCAGCCGCAGAACCAAGCGGGGACGAGCCGCGCAAGGAAGGCAGGCCGGGCGTAGCCCTGCACTTGCCTTATCCCTGCCCGGCTGTGTAGTCCTGAGCGATGGAGCCCGCTCTCTAGGGGGCCCCTCCGCCGTGCGAAAGGCAGGAGGACTCTGCGGACGTCCTCACCTCATGCCTGCGGTGGAGCTGCTCTCCATGCCTGCTCGGGCCCTGGCAGGAGGGGGCCACTCTAATCTGTACAGAGATGCCATCCTAAGAGAAGTGATCGAAATACACAGTGAATGTTTTAAGTTTTAAAACTTTATTAGGGTAAAAAATACATTGGTATTAACCCCTCAAAATGCTCCCCCCCGCCACCACCCTCGTCTTCTTGCCATTTTCTGAAGCAATTCTGGGAGTCTTCCTTCCGGAGTGTCTTTATCAGGTGCGATAAAAAAATACAGCAACTGCTGCCACCGACTGCCATCTAGTGGACAGGCTGTGTCCTCTGCCACCCTATTGCCCAGGTCTGGCACCCCGCGACTCCGGCCTCTTCCCAGAAGTCAAAGTAAGCATGAGAGGTCAACTCTTTTTGTCATCCTCCTTTACATTTTATTTATCATACACATTAAAACAGTACAGCCAGTGGTAGAGAAAGGCTTATTTATTTTTTAAAAATGTATTTAGTACAGAAGTCTGCAGGGTCTCACTACACAGATCGGACTCGTAGTGAGTCTCCTGTTTTCAGCCTCCCAAGCACTGGGATTACAGGCGCGCGCCACGATGCTCCGTCTCAGTCGCCTGTCTCAGCGCACCCCAGGGGCCAGGCGGGCATGGATCGAAGCCCTGGCTCCTGCATCTGCCTAAGCAGGTGCTTTAATCCGCTAAGCTATCTGGCCGGCCATAAAGAAAGGTTTTTTTTTGTTTTTTGTTTTTTGTTTTTTTTTAATTTTTATTTGTGTGTGTGTGTGTGTGTGTGTGTGTGTGGCCAGCTCAGCCCACCAGGGGCGGGGCTGGCTGGCATGTGGTGCTGGGGGATTGAACCGCGGTCCCTGTGCTTTGCTAAGCTTGTTCTAAGTAGCTGCTTTACACCACTGAGCCATCTCACCATCCTAAGAAAGGTTTTTAATGATGCAAAGCTGAACACTTAAAATGATGCTTGCTTCCTCCATTTGTCCCAATTCAGACATCATTTTCTTCATATAAGCTGACTCTAGAACTTCACAGTTTCTTCATAGTGTTAGAAGAGTATCTCTGTCTTATAATTTAAAATAATTTCACAGATTGTACACAATCATACTATAATACTGTCATGCACAGAGTTCCCCAAGTGAGTACTTTTACATATTAACACTAAAATCAATTTTTATTTAAACATCACAATAAATCAAACCATAAATCCCTAGAATTTAGTTTTAAGAGTGTTTATGCAGAGCTCAAAGCATACAGGTACTTCACGATCGCCTAAATGAAGCGGGAGATGGAAACTCCATCAGTGTGTCCAGTGAGGATTTTTCACTCATTCCAAGTATCTCTGTACTTATTTGACAACAGTTTTAAGGGTAGGAAATTTTCTTCTTAAATTATGGACAAGGAAACGGAACACCTTTAAGACCAACTCATCAGGGCCAGCCAGATAGCTCGGTGGATTAAAGCACCTGCAAGCAGGCGCAGGCGCAGGAGCCCAGTCTGCTGTCCTGGCCCCGTCCCCAGGATGTGCTGAAATGGCGATTGAGACTGTGTGTGGTGACGCTAATCCCAGCTCTTGGGAGGCTGTAAGCAGGCAGATCACTATGAATCTGATCTAGTAGTGAGACCCTGAATACCTGTAGACCCTTCCCTAAAATAAAAAAGAAAAAAGCCCAACTCATCAAATGAAACCTTAAGTCTTCTTCAAATGTCTACTTTTGAAAGCACAATTTATCACTCCTTCATATTCCGCTAAGCTTGTGTGAATATTTTCAGTTATTGGAACTGATCAGTAATTTATATCTATCTATCTATCTATCTATCTATCTATCTATCTATCTATCATCTATCTATAGATATAGATATCCCCCCCGGAGCCAGGGATTGAACTCAGGCCCTTGTGCTTGCCAGGCAAGCACTTAATTAACTGAGCTATCTCCCCAGCCCCTATATTTTTATATCTTTTAAAAGACAGTTTCTCACAGACAAGAAGCAGGTCTTTTTTTTTTTGAACTGGGAATTGAATTCAAGATCTCACGCTTGCCAGGCAGGTGCCATGCCACTGAACTATATCAGCCCAAGAAACAACTCTCATTCATCTTTACTTCTGCTCCACCTCCCTGACACCTACTGGCTCTCAAGGAATGTTAAGTGAACAAAGAGACAAATGAACGAAAGGAACAAACATGCTGAGTGAGGCTGATGGATGAGTTTAAGTTGATGACTGGTGGAAGAAGATCCAGGTGACATCCTGCAGGAAAATTCATGAGGTTATATAGACATTGGATCATAAAATGTCAAAATTCATTTCAAGAGAAGTTTCTACCTTGGGCTATATGATCAGTAGCATCAGTGAGAAGTGTAGAGTAGAACTGGCTCATAATAGCAAGAATGTCCTTTTCTATACTGTCTACACCTGGGGATGTCAACAAAGAGGACCCATCTGTCATATTGGGGTCATATTTTGACTTTTGAGAATATTGTCTGGGTGGGGAAGATCATCTCGATTGTAAAGCTTCTCCAAGATGGGAATTTTTGAGATTCTTGAACTTGTTTGGATATATTCTCCCATTATCAAGCTTTCTAGCAAAGTATCCCAGAATACAAGCAAATATAAGTTTAGGGATGGAACCAAATCTGGATGACTTGCAATAATTCCTGTATGGTACTACTGGTAGTTAGTCTTTGAGTAATCAACATACTTGTCTTCTCCCAAAGCAGATCTGAAACACAAGCACTCATAGTTGCATTCTGGGAGTGTTTTTCTTTCTTCCTGTGTTGTGATGTAAGTTTTTAGCATAGTAAACCTCAACATTTTATACATGTTCTAATATCTGAGCTCTTTGTACTTTTTCTTTTTTTTTTTTTAACAGAACCAGGGATTGAATTCAGGCCCTTGCATTTGCCAGAGAAGTGCTTATTCTACTGAGCCATCTCCCCGGCCCTCTTCCTGTGTTGGAATGCAGTCAGCCCTTAGGAGGGGAATTGGTCTTGGAATTGTGCATTCATCAGAAAATCTGTCATCCCATTCATTTTTCCTGTGGCAGGAAATGATTCAACACTCAAAAGGTCAATGTTCTGAAGCAATACAGGACATTGAGGCAGTAAAGACAACTCAACTAGACATTCGTGGAAGAGGACTTCCAGACCTGCTTCAGAAAGTGGCAAGGAGAATGGGATAAGTATGCTTGAAGTGAGGGGGAAGTTTTTGAGGGGGATTAATGACCATGTCTCTCTTACTGTGTAACATGTTGGGGCCTGAGAAATTCTTCAGCAGGACCCCAGAACAACTGGGGTCAGCCACACTGAGAAAATTTTGGGGACAAAAGCTTTGGCTTCTTTACAAATGTTTTTTTCTTCCCCTGAAGATGGTCAGCTGAGTTAGGTGTCTTTTGATGTGCTCAGATGTTGTATCTGCTTTTGTCAGAGTCCTGTTAGTGCTGTTATTGTTAGTAGGTTCTGATGCTGAGGAGGAAGGGACAAGAGAACCATGGGACCTGTGATACAATTCGGATTGTATCACAGTTGTATCATACTAGTGCTATGACAAATGAGTATGGTACAACTTATTAGAAACCAAGGGAAAGCAGGTCTCTCTTAAGATACTGGGCTGCAGTAGAGGAACAGATGTTTTCCAGGCCCTGGGGCCAAGGGTGTTTGTAGGAGACGTTTGTCATCAGCAGACGTTTGTCATGTGTAGCTGGGGGGAGACTGCAGGTAGCAGAAATGGGGCCGAGGGAGGGAGGGGAGCTCAGCAGGCAGATGGATCCCCAAGAGGAGGGGGTGCTGGAAAGATGGAGGGTGCTGCCTCTTGGGTTCCAAGGGTCTCCTATTTCTTGAAGGCTGGATCTCAGCCTGTATGCTGAGGGTGATGGATATTCTAGAGAGGACCTCTAAGAGCTTTAAGATGAGTGGGGTAACTCCTCGGAGGGGACTATGGGACCCATCTTGTCTTCTTTTAAGACCTGGCCGTAAGATGAATGCTGTGGTAGGACGTGCTACGGCCAGGAGGTGCTGTCTACCAGACATCCCACTGTCTGCTGAAGACCTAAACGCAGCAGGTCCCCATCCTGCCTACAGGAAGCTCTAAAATGGAACTATAAGAAGACTTTTCTCTTTTTAACTTATCTTGGTATTAAATAACAGAAAGCACAGAAATGCTCCACTGGGTCAAGCCTATAATTGAGTATCAGGCCCTCAACCGTTTATTATTTCAATTGCCAAGCCACAAGTTTCCTTTTCCTGAAAATTTTACTTGCAGTGCAGACTTTCAAATGTAAAAGAGGACTATAAAGGCTCAAAGAGTTCTGGAGATAAACTGCTGAAGCCATTGATAAATCTCCATGGAGGGGCCAGGATGGCTCAGTGGAATAAGCACTTCTCTGGCAAGCACAAGGGCCTGAGTTCAATCCCCGTTTCCACAAAAAAAAAAAAAAAAAAAATCTCCATGGATTTCATTGAAAATATTTTAAGTCAAGCAAAAGCCAATATATGAGGAGGAGGTAGAGGGTAAAAAGTAAAACCAGGAATCTTTTTTTTTTCATTTTTTAATTTATTTTTAAATTTTTGTTTTCTTTTCCATGTATGTGTGTGCCCTTTCAGTTTTTATTTTATTTTACTGAGAAACAAATATGAATGAGACAGTTTCAAAGCTGATTAGCAGGACAGTTTCAATAATCAATACATTGTACATTGTTATCTTCTTAGTGGTTATCCATAGCACAAGGAGCAGGCAGGATAGCCTGTCCAAACACTATTAGTACACCTTTTTCTTCTCATTGAATTAAGCGAAAGTAGCTGTATATCTATCCTATTTTGTATATACAAATGCAAAATGATCTTTCCTTTGTATCCCCTTTTTTTTGTTTAGTCCTGTCAGAGGTGAGTATTCTATTGGCATCTAAATACTACAGGTGCTTGAATTCAGCTGTATCTGGTTCTGACACTGAGATTTTGGTAGAAATTATTCTCCAGGTACTTCCAAGGAGGATTTCAGCTGATAATAAAACTGTACTGACCAAGGAAGGTG